ATGACTGCATTAAAATTACAACCAAATTATAAAACAATCATCCTGGATAACTATCTGAAGACTAGCTGAACAGAACTTCAATAACTAAGGATATAAAGCAGGCCACCTCGAGACTGGTAGGAGGGTTGGAGATGTGAAATGGCCTGGCTGCACACTCATGTGAGGTGGTTGAGCACTGGAAGAGATACCTCGGCTGCGAAGTACCCCCTCCCCTAGAGAAGTGAGGGGCCATAGCCCCGCACTGGGGCTCCCCAGCCCAGAGTTCCAGTGCTGGGAAGAAGATTCCTCACAAAATTCGACTGTGAGAATCAAAGGGGTTTCCAACCACCCAGGTGAGACAGAAGGCTGCTATAAACCCAGGTATCCCATTAAAGGGCCCATACACAGACTTGCTCACTTGCAGGCAGTCACCATGGGCTCTAGCAGAGGGACAGCAGCTCAGGAGGTGCCAGAAACACACAGGGAAAGACTGAGTTATATGGCTTCGGGGTGAGGGCTGGAGGGACAGCCATCATTGTCCCTTTGTTGAGCTCTCCTTCTGTGCAACCTACAGGAGGGCACCATCTTGCCTATGTTGAGCCCTCTACCCACAGGGACAAATCTAAATCTGTATTGGCCTAGTGAACTCCACTCACTCCACCCTGGTGACTCCCTGAGACCCAACTCACGCATTGCTGGAGGCATTTTCATGGATAGCCCACCAGCCCCACCCTGAGCTCTCTGCAGGAGGCTCCCTCAGTAGCAATCAACAGGCCTCTGCTCTTGAGTCTCTGGAGTCACTTTTGGAAGCAGACAACCAGTCTTGGCACAAGCTGAAGTATTTCTTGAATAAATCTTGGGCGTCTGGAGGCCTGAGATAGGCAGTGGCTGTCCTTGGTATAATCTGAGACTTTTGTAAGTGGCCACAGGCTCAGAACTGACACCAAATCTAAACCTGGGGAACACAACTTATATGTTCTGTTAGGCGGGCAGCAGCCCCATACAACTCGTGTTTACTGCATCTCCTGATTACATCATTTTTTCTGATGCTTGATTTAATATTATGTATGAGAATATGATGTTCAGGCTGGTAGCCTAGGAACAGTAGGCTATTCTATATGTCCTAGGTGTAGTAGGCTATATCATCTAGGTTTGCATAAGTGCACCTAATGATACATTTCTCAGAATGTATCCCCATCATTAAGTGGCTCATGACAGTACTAAGGTGGTTTATAAGGCATAGGATTGGAGAATTGCTTACATAAATAAAACTGGGACAAGAAGATATTATCTTATATTTGAGAGTGACTTGGAAAAGTATTGAGACAAGAATGAATGAAACTTTCCCCTTTTGACATATGGAATAATATTTACTATTTAAATGAAAATGCAAAGGGGGACATTTTTGCTGCTTTTAGATAAGTATCTTGTGTTCTTATCTACCGAGCACTTCATTACATGCCAGGCAACTAAACCCAGGACACAAAGAGGAATCAGTTGGTTCTTGCCCTTAAAGAACTCACAGCCTAGTGTAAGAAAGAGTATAAAAACATATACGCTATGGGAAGCACAATACTACAGATGTGTTCAACGTATTAGGAAATCACATAAAAGAGACACGTAACCTAAGTGGAAGAGAGTAGTGCATTAAGGAAAACTTCTTAAAGAAATAACAGATGAACTAATCATAAAGAATGAGATGAGAAACTTCCTAAGATGACAATTGCAGATTTTTAACTTCAAAAACACCAAATTAACTACCCTTGTGCGTGCACACACACACACACACACACACACAATGGTGTTAAAAAGTGAATGAAATTAAAAAGAAAATTTATAATTTAATGCAAAAAAAAATTGTCAGCCAAGGAAATGAGGAGTATTTTCTGAATGAGAACTGTCATTTCCCACAGGAGTGATTCAAAGACCAAATCTTGTCTAAGTCTTTTTTAGCAAAGTGACCCATAAGTGAGAACAGAGCCCAGCAATTCTAACAAAGATGGCAAAATGCCTCGACTAAAGCTTTCTCATTTCTCCTGCCATTTAATTAGATTATAAAAATATGGATAGATCACAAAATATTTAGCCCTAGACTTTAGAAATGATATGAAGAGAAAGGAGCTAAATGTTTTCATACAAATTTTATTTTCAAAAAATCTTATTGCCCCCGTCTTATAGATAAGAAAACCGAAGTTTAGAAGTGTTAAATAACTTGCTGTAGGTCACAACAATAAGAAAATTCTAACATGAGAACTTGTTGTCATTTCTAGAGGGCCAAAGCTGTTGATTTTTGAAACATCATATTGCCCCCTTGGGTGTAATAATTATCTTTCCTTCTCTACTAATCTTGAAGACAGTGGGCTAAGGAAGAAATAATGAGCTAAACTGAAATTGTTTTATTTCTCTTTGTGTCTCAATTCTATTATTAAAATTTTAGAGAAGGCTGAGGCTAGCTTTTAGAATGAGGAGCTCAGTTCATTTGGAAACTTAACCTTTCAGACCTGACCTCCTCATCATGCATCTCTTGTACCTTTTCAAATCTCATCAAAACTGTAAAACTCAGTGCAGATTCCCTCATTATCTCTTGCTTTTGAAATCTACCTCAGCATTTTAAAACTTTTCTCCCTTGACCCACAAAAATCAGCACTGGCTTATATTCTCCCATATATTTGGTATTACTTCTGCATTCACTATTTTCATTTCCCTAAGAGGTTTAAAGGCCCTGTATACATGGATTATGCTCTAACTTTCTCCTTTAGACCTCAAAGCACAATGCTGAGCAAACTGCATTCTCAATGAACACTACTATCAGAGAGTGTATTGGTAACCAATCAAGTCCTAACTTGAAAATGAAACAGTATATATTGCCATATTTTGACTACCTACATTGAACCTAGTCATTGTAGAGGTCTATAGTTTATGGAATGTTTCCGTGTGTATTATTTTAGTTTAGTTTACATTGTATTAAATGTATTTATAAGACTCAGCCCTTGTAATGATTGGGAAATGTTCACTTTTCAATTTACTTGCTAATTAATGAAGCAATTATAGTTTTTCTTCTGGCCTTATATTATTAAAAGTCTTGGATTTCACATTTTATTGTTTAATAACTTAGTTTAGCTTGGTTGTAGCACTTAAAAGGTGAAGTTAATTTTATTTGGTAGAGTGTGATAGCAGTTCCTTTACCTGAGGCTTTGTGTTAATTAGGTTGGCTGCCAATTTTTCACATAGGAATTGAAGTTTTCCCTTTTTCTTTCCTTACTTGAGGTTCGATAATAGATCTATTGCTGTTTGTACAAATTTAAACCTTTTAATTTATGAACCCAACCTGATCTTACTTTTCTAATTCTTTATTGTTAAGCTCAAGGGCAGTCCATGAATTTTTATTTTTAATCTCATGGAGAGGTTTTATGATTTTTCTACACTAGGAAAAGAAAAAAAGATGTTTAAAATTATATATATGGTACAAAAAGAGAGAATCCTCTCTTTACTTAAGGTTTTCTAATTAAATTTGTCTTCCATAAAATCGAAGATGTCACAGGAGGTAACTATTACAGCTTACAATATGTGAATTACTATAAAGAGCAGCTTTTATGTAGAGTAGTTTTGATCACAATTTCATATTTATGGCATATTTATTAGCTACTTTTTATGTGGCTCCAAATAAATATATATTTATTAAGTACTTAGTAGAAATCAACACAAAGCTATAGGGTACCTTTGGATGGTTGCAGATATTTAGTCGACAAGCAGTTTACACCTAAGCAAAGGTGACAGAGCTCAGCAAGGAAGAACTCGGGCTCAGGACAGGGCAGCCCTGAGATCACATATCTACTTAGGCACTTGTCAGGCATGTAATCTTCCTCAAATTACTAAGTCTCAATAAGCCTCAGTTTCTTAATGTATATACATAATAATAGTGCCTTACTCATCAATTTGTGTTAATGTTCAAACAGGATGACAGGTATTTGATGTGTAATACAGGAGCTGGCATAAAGTAAATCATCAAGTTCACTACTAGTGTGTGGAGCAGCAGCAGGCCAGATTACAGAGAACACAGGCTCTGGAGCATGGTTCTGCCATTCCCTACTTCTGTGATGGGGCATGTTACTTTTCTAAGCCTTAGTTTTCTCTCTGTTAAAGAAGATAATTTATTGGACGATTGTTATATATATATTTTTAAAATATATGAAAAGTATCTAGAATATCGTGTAGTATTTAGCAGGATTTAAATGGTAGCTCTGTGAGCATACATGTATATGAAGAAATATTTGCCAAATGAATGTGTTGGTGTGTTTCAAAGGTAGAAATCAGAGATGGCATGTGAAAGGTTCTTGCAGAATGGAAAGTCTTTCATTGAAGTGACATGGAGGAGTAGGAGTTTGCCTCCTGGTAATAAACATCCCAGAAGAGGGGAAAAGAATCTTCTGGAGTGTTTCAAATACATGCATCTATTCACTCTACAACATGGAGATTCAATTCTATTGGATTAAGTTTGTCTTTAGGGATGTATTCTTCCCAGGACAACCAGAACACAAACAGTATCTCTACTGTACATCATGTTAACATTCAGTTTTATGGAAGATAAATCAAACTAGAAAACCCTTAGTAAAGAGAGAATTCTCTATTTTTGAACCATATGTGTAACTTTAAAAATCTTATTTTTTCAGGTGTAGGAAAATCATAAAATCTCTCCATCAGATTAACATGGACTGCCTTTGCATTTTGGTGCTCAAAGGAAAGGCTCATTGCATAATAACTAAAATTTCCAACGTATTAATTTGGCCTGTTTTACTTATTAGCACCTAACCATCGATGACTCTGTATTTGCATTTCTTGTGTGCCTTTTAAAGTTCAAATTAACATGTTATTGCAAAGGCAAAACAAAAAAGCTCACTCATGCTCTAAAAAATTATTACGTCAAGACTAAGGTGGTATCCTCAGCCCATTTGACTCTCTCCCTTGCCTAAAATACTTCAAAATAGACTCAACTAGAATAACAAGGACCATTTCTCTAATAGGCATGGAAACCAGAGAGCATTCACATAATTTGAGTCTGAGAGAGTTCTGGCAGAAAATGAAGTGTTATGCCACACCAGCGTCCACTCTCTGCACAGTTCTGGTTGGTGAGTAAGCAGAGTCCTGCTCTTGCTCTGTTACTTCTCCTCAGTTAACATTGTCAGTTTGGAGAAGAACCTGGAATTGCCAATGCAGATCAAAACCTAATGGTGCTCTAGCCTCTGACATGGCACTGTTGTCTTTGGAGACCAGCATCTTAAGCCCTCACTGCTCCAAGAAAGGAAAGACCAACCTGACTAGAAATCAGAAAAGGAAGTTTTGTGGAGGTCACTTTTTTCAAGGGCCGCTTTCAGCTTTGAATTGTTGACACATGGGCAAATATCTTACCTTGATGAATGAAGCTCCCTACTTGCAGCTATGACTCTCTGGCTACAGTTTGGTTCCTTGTCTTCATTAATCTGGACTCCTTGAGTTTCTGTGAGAATAGTAGAATAAAACTTCTTTTGGCTCAGATAGAAAGAAAGAAACAGAAGCCATTCAGCTGAGCTACCAATATTGGAGTAATTGAAATTCAATCATTCAGTCATTCATTTATTCATTTTTTTCCATGGCTCCTATGGACCAGTTACTATTTTGGGAGCTTGGAATCCAGCAGTCAACAGAAAAGGTTCCAGATCTTAAATTCTAATGTAAGCTAATAAACTATAAACAATTACTTAGATGAGATAATTTTACTTAGTGATAAGTGCTACAAAGAAAGTTAAACAGGCTAAAATAATGAAGAATCAAGTGAATATCTTTGTACTGGCTGGTTAGCAAAGAAAGTGACCTTTAATCTAAATGTCAAACTTTGTAAGTGGAGGAGTGCCTTCTCAAAAGGGAACAGCACAAAGACCCTGATGTGAAAGAATATATAAAGAATTCTTATCGATCAATAATAAATTTATCATTCAGGGAGTGATAACAAAAAGAAAACATGTTCCGACATGTCAGGACTCAGAGTATGTAACATCTACATATAATATCATGAACAAGACACTTGAAGAACTGTTTTACTCTAAACATACTCTGAAAGGGAAGAAATTTAGAGCCGAAATGGTGGTGAGCAGTAATAATATTGGAGCTCAGAATCAAGTTTAAGCTATTATTGTTGTTGATATGGGTGTAAAGTTTAATGCAAGTCCTTCAAAGGATTTTTAGAGAAGAAATACAAGATTTTTCAAGTTATAAAATCAGGAGGGGTGTGGAATATGTGTTTGTGAGTGTTCGTATGCAGCATAGGTGTTGAAGAAAGCAATGAATAAAATTCTGCTCAAGCTTTTGTATTGCATATGACATTGATAGAGATTTGAGTATTTTAAAATTTATAGATAAACCGTAGTAGAATGTAATTGGTATGCATAAGTGGTTAAGGACTTTTTTTAGAATCTGTTATTTTAGCAAAATGAGACAAAATGTGAAATAATAATAACAATTAGCAAAAGCATAAATAAGATGGAAGAATAAGATCAAATATTATTATTTTGTGGATTAAATTTCCCTATTAAAAGACAAACCCTCTTAGAATTAATCAAAATGCAATATTTATCTATAAGCTTTATATAGAAGTTTCATCAGAAACAAAAGGACACACTTTTTTGCAAATAAGGACATGGGCAAAGCTTTACCACACAAATAGAATACAAAATTTGCTATTACAAATGAGATCATTTTTCTTTTGAATGTTGTGAGTGGATTTTGTTGGTACATAGGAAAGCTATTGATTATTCATATTAAACATTTACTGATCTCTTATTTGTTTTAATACTTTTCCAACTGAATTTATCTTAAAAAATTAGACTACTGAGTAATAGTTTTTGAAATAAAAAGTTTAAAAAATATAAACTTTTATATCATACAGTAGAGGATAGATTGGTTAAAAATAAATTATAGTTTAGAAGAATAATATATAGTCATTAAAACCTATTATCTGATATTATCCTAAGGTAGTCTTTTTATTTTTTTCTTTTTGTAAAACCATTCTGGAAGAATGTAGAACAGATGTTAGTAGTTTTTAATTTTTTCATTATTTTTCATATACTCTGAATTTTTTATCATGAATAATCAGAATTTTAAAAAATCAACAATTATAATTTTAGAAAGAAGGCATATTTTTACTTAGGGACAGTATGACAAAATAAACTTTTCATTTTCATAGATACTCGGTACAGATTATTATTTTTGGCTGAACTAAGTAATATAACATTTAAAATTGAGGAAACTCTTCTGAGTAGCACTAAATCATGGTCCTAAATGTAGAGTTTGCACTACATCAGAGAATTTTGTAATCAAAACTCAAAACGCATAGGAGTGATCTACTCCAAGAAATTGAAAATGTTTAAGAGATAGATCTGTTGGTTGTTCTCAAAATGAATTTATGTTATCAAGGCACAGTCACATGAAACTATTTTGACTAGAAATATATGAATAAAAGTATTTCAGTAGTTTATAAATTTTATTGTGTATCAGAATTACCTAAATGGCTTATTAAAGATTAAATTGCTAAGCTCTAACCCTTGAGTTACTGATCCAGTAGATCTCGTCTGAAGCCCAATTATTTCTTCTTTATCAAGTTCCCAGATGATACTAATGCAGCTGGCCCAGGAACCCACTTTGAGAACCTCTGGCATTAATTCTGAAACTGGAAAGTCTCTCAGATTACCCTGTTTGCAAACTAACAAGTTTGCCTGCTGGTTTTATACACATATACACATAATAGAAGACACAAGACCCTGGGTTAGAGACACAGCTGGTTTATTACTCATAGCAAAAGCAGCAGCTGGAGAACTATCTCTGCTCCAGTCATGGTTCACCACACCTCAGTCTTCACAGTATAATGCTATAAGGCCTGATGTTTACCTGCACTTGCAGTAGGTTTGCACCTTAGAAGAGAAACACCCAAATTAGGAGACTCTAAGCTTTTATTAGCTTATGGCACATCTGCCTGCTTTCTTCTGAGGTGGAAGGAGGGGCGGAAGCATGAGTGCTTTGTCTCCAAATCTCTCCAGCACTATCTATTCTAATAAAGACTTTAGCTTCTAAGGCCATCTGTAATGCAAACATCCTTGCAGTAGTACCCTTTGTTCAGAAGACTCAGGATCATATGGAAATTTGGGGGAAAGAAAAAAACCACAGGGATAATAAAGTAACCAGGCATCATTATTTTTCAACAATGGGTAAAAAGGACGTGTTAAAATGATGGCGATTTTAAATTTCTGATTAAATAGCTTTTTCATTTTCTCTTCATGAATACGTTTTAAAATAAGGATTCATTAATTTTCCCATTCATATATTATACTTCAATAATTTTTTTTGCCCATGGCATAAAGCTTCTTAGGCACTATTAGGCATAGATGCATTTCTTCTAGGTCACAAGGCTGCATAAGTAGAGAGAAGGGATCTTCAAAGTCAGATTCTGACCTGCATGAGAATCCCTCTTTTGCTACTTAACATCTTGATGTTAACCTTACTTATCCCCTCTGAGCCCCAGTTCCCCATGCCTTGTGAAATTGACATTATTTCCTTATTCTGTTGTTAAAAGATAAAAAATGATATTGATTTAGTGCTTTGTATAGTACCTATTACATAACAAGTGTTCAAAAATTGTAATTATAATTATTAGGTGTGCCACAGTCAGAGTCCCCTGCTAATCCAAAGTACAGACCTGTTTCATGCCCAATTTTTGTGAAGTACCAGTGTCATTACCAGGAAAAAAATTCCAGATGATGCACCACTTATGTCAAAGTGCTATCTGGTGATTAATTGGAAGTTTAAATTTATCCATTGTCTATGCCAGGCATAGGAAAGCCTCTTGGGCAGATGCTACCTGTTCCATCAATTACTTCATAGGTGATGAGAGAAGACAGGAAAATATGGTTTCTGATGGTGATAGCCTGGCCTCAGAAATTTGGTTCTAGGTGGTTATTCTCTTGCATCTGAAGTTGCCAACATCTAGAGATAAAGAATTACTTGGGAACACAAAATGTTTCATCCAACAGAGAATGTAGACATTACAGAGCTATTAATCAAGGCAGCCACGCTGAAAGTGGTATTAACTGCAGGATTTAGGAGAGAGGGAAACTGGAATTAAACTATAAAATGATTCAAGATTGAAGGAGAATGAACTAACTGAATTATAGATTTTAGAAATTCAACAAATTATACCAGAGAATATGTAACTATGAGAATATGAGCATGTGTTCCATTTGGGTGGTCTAGTTTTATTTGTTCATTGCTAGTACGTTTCTGAGGCTGGCCTTTCCTTTAATCTTCTAGTTTGTCACCTTTATCTCTATGTGTGTTTGTGTATACTCCAGTTTTGAACTGAGAGAGCCATAAAGGTGAGTGACACAATCGCTGTCCTCAGTGAATTTACAATTGAATAGGAAGGTAATGCATAAAATGAGAATAAAGCAAAGTCTAGCAAAATCAGGACAGGCAAACTGGGCCATAATGTGTAGCTATCGTTATAGAAGTTGGCTTGAGTGTTGCATATTTACTAAGAGCTGGATTATGAAGTGAGAATCTCAGTTTCTACTCTTTCTCTCTGATTACTCTTGAGCCTGTTATACTCCATTAATTCTGTTTCCTCATTGCTAAAATTGTATGACACAGTGAAGATGAAATGAGATGATGGATGACTGGCTCATAGAAAGCACTCAATAAATACTGGCTCAATTGACTCTTATTACTTTAATCATTAGTATCTTTAAACACAATTAATAAGAGATTTTCTTAAGGAGTATAGGAGGAGGCCTCTCAGTAAACTGTATGATAATAAGTAACATTTATTAAGTATAAACTTGTGTTTCAGGTACTTGCTAAGCACTTTACCTACCTTTATTTAATTTTATGAACAGTTCTAAGAGCTAGGTACCTTTTCTACCCCACTTTACAGATGATAAAATAGAAGATTAGAGGGTTTATGTAATTTACCAAAAGTCACATAGCTATTAAGTGGTAAAGCCATTAATCTATCTATCGATCGATCGATCGATTGATCTATCTATCTATCATTTATCTTATTATTCTGTCCTCACCTCTATACACTGCTAGGAAAATCAATCTT